GTACCGATGGCATGTCCAATTTCCATCCTAGATTGTGAACAAAAATCTTTATACTTATAAGAACCGATGATTTAATCCTCTGTGTATAAGCTAAAACTCTACACACTAAATCATCTACTATATAAGTAAATAGACACCATAAACGAATATATGATCTATTAAAATTGAGCAAATATTTATTCTATAATAAATATTATTTCTTAACACATGGTTAATAGTATATATCCCAACAAGCTATAAATAGAGGAGTTTCCTCTCACTTTTATACTACGCTTTTATTTATTTATTTATGTTTTCTACTCTTCTTAAAAAAATCTCAAGGGTTAATTGCAACAGTTGATTAAGTTCAATATTCAACGAAATTCGAGGTACCAAATAAGAAAGAGTCGGAGAAGAAATTGTAGCAAATCTTTCATCAATTCACACTCGTATTTTTTCTTTTGATTTTCATGAGTTAACAATGACGAAAAGCTGTGGAAAAGACTATAATAATAAACAAATATGAAAAAAGTCACATGATTTGGGTAAGATATTTCTTATTTATTTTTTTATTTTTTATTCTTTTACCCTCAAACTAAGGAGTTTCTTTCTAATTTTGCTAAAATAACGGGCATCAACGTTGTCCATTGAATTATTAGTTTTGATGTATAATCCACTATTTCAGAAAATAGTTTTTCACTTTTACTTAATATGATAATATAGTCATGATAATAATTATTTTTTAATAGATATGTAAGAAACAATGAACGGAGAAAGTAAAGTGTTGGTGGCAAGATATTTCAATCAAATGGAACACTATAGTTAGTATAGCATGAACATATATTTTCGTCTTATTATTCATTGATTATGTATTGTTCCATTTATTTTTTATTTTTTATATTTATATTGAGTTTGAATATGAAATTATTTATGTATGAATTTCCTGTTATTTTGTGTTCATTTTAATTTGAGAAAATGTTATGTCACAAGATACACTCCTTGCTAGTTGTATAAAAATAGATAAGAAATAGTGATTGATCATAAAAGGGAAAAAAGTCTGAAATATATCCGAACTTTGGCCGAAATTGTTGTTACAATACTGAACTTTGGAAAGCACCTTTTACCCCCCTACACTATTAAATAGTGCAGGGGGTGAAAAGTCATTTCCAAAGTTCGATATTGTTACAGCAATTTCGGTCAAAGTTCGAATATATTTTAGAATTTTTTCCTTATTTTAAAAATATTTTTCAAACACTTTTAGAAGTCAAAAACTGACTTAAAAGTATATTTGACCAAATATACCTTTAAAATACACTATTAAATAGTGCAGGGTGGTAAAAGGTCATCCATAAAGTTTGGTATCGTAACAACAATTTCGGCCAAAGTTGAAGTATTTTTCAAACCCATTTCCCATCATAAAATAATCTTAAATCAAATTAAAGATTCTATAAATAATACTTTAACTTTTATTCATCAATTAATTTTTATTATTGAAAAAAGTTTAATATTTTATATCACGATACAACTTCTATAAGATATTAGATACTTTCATTAGACAACAACTATATAATATGTATGCGGCAGAAAAAAAGGAGAAGACTACAATTCTATAAAGATAAGGTAGAAACTTAAAGAAATGAAATATTTTTTACCAAATGCGATGTTGTTCATATATTGACATAAAATTATGCTACTGATATATATAAAACAAAGTATTGGTCAAGCGAAATATTTTGCATTCACTCAAACCTCTATTTGACCATCATTCGTTATAACAACAAAGTACCCTTTATTTTTGTAAAATTACCTCTCTATGACAGTCATACTCAAATATTAATTGAGTACTAATATTTCGTAAAAGATAGATTACGTATAAAGATAAATTATTGAAATGTTTTTGGTAATCCTTATTAGTGTCATGCACATACTAAATTTCAAGTATGAATATTTAAGAGAAAAAATATACTTAAATGATGTCCATCATTTATGTTCATAACCTCAAGAGGAAAGGCTAGGTGACAATTTTTGTATGGATATTTTTTTAAAATTTTGTCGCTTAGATTTGTTTACAAAATTGAGTGAAGTAAATTAATACTATTAAAGAAATGTCACTTTCTCATTATATTTAACCTTTGAATGAATGTATTTAGAAATGTTTCAATGATATCTGGTTATTTTGATCTCAAAATACAGCTAATTCTATGTCAATATGTATTAATCATTTCAAAGAATTTGTCATAGGTTCTTTCAAATATAATTATTTACAAAAATATTCATTTAGTAATATTAATTCTATTTGACAACATCGTATATTATTTATACGATACACACGTGCAACCCGTGAAACTAGTATATATATATATAAATAGCTTGATTTTATTTATTTACGCAATTATTCTTTAAAATGTGTCCCATGAGAAATAACTTTGATCTCACACAAATGATGGTTCACAACCTGTTATTTTATTTTATCAAATTTGTTTCACAGATACTATACTGTAAAGAAATATTAATGCTAATTTATAAAGGAATAGAAAAAGACAAATATAATTTTATCAATATTTTAGCTAAGAAATAAGTAATGACAATTTTTTGTGAGGAAGGAAAAAGAGGATGGTATAGGGAGATGATGAAATAAAAATACAAAAGAAAATGAGATGAATTTAGGAGACTGAATTATGTGTGATAGAGATTGATAGGTCTAATTACTTTTAGCTTAGACAGTACATCTACTTCACTTTTTAGTTTAAAGTGTAGATTTGACTACCTCTCTCTGTAAAGTACAAAGTTTGTCTTGTCAATCAATCATTCTTGACGTCAAACTTTTCCTTTTTTTCTTTGTAATATGATAGAGAATTAATATATATTTTCACATCATAATATAACCCATGACTTACGTTTCTCAAGAACTTATGCTCTCACAAGGTATAAATTCAGTTGCAAAATTAAAGACCATAACAGACCATTTAAGGGCAATTCGTGCAATCAACTCCATAGAATACAATTAAAATGGGAGCCAAAAAATTGCAAGAGTCCTGGACACTTGGGTTTGCAAATGATTCTTTTTCAACTTAAAATAAAAATTCAACAGCTACTAAAAATATATGAGATGATAAGTACAGATATAAGGATAAGAACTTGTATCACAACCTCACAGAAGAAAAAGAAGAAAAAAAATTAAGGAAGAAATGTGAAATATTACAGAGTTGAGACCATTAAAGATTTAACTAATGCAACCTTGTCAACTCTTCCACTCTCTTCATTAGTTCCTCAACTGGAACTGACATTGCTTTAGAAATCTCTTCCATCCGATTCCTGCTAAGATCTAGGAATGATTCAATCAAATCTCCATCAAGAAAGTTTTTAGCATCTACAGTTTTCTTCTCATTGTAAAACGACCTCCACTGCTCGTGGCTCAGACCTCCCACACCCTTTATCACTTTCCGTAAGTTTGTCTGCAGCTTTTCCAAAAATAAATATTGATCATGAGGTAGCGATGCAATGACCCCTATAACACCATTCACTGTGCCAAATATGACGGTGGGTATCTGGCCAACGTCTGAATCTGGTAGTCGCATGACAAGCGAACCGTGTCTAAACCTATTAACAAATTCACCAAGATGGTATTCACCAACCACTTCAAGACGGCTGCGCTCCTCATCTGTAGCACCTTCACTATTTTTCCTGACCGTGAAAAGGTTAAAGTTATTCTCAGCACCAAGATAAATGTCATCATCAAGAATCTCAACAGCTGACATCCAATTTGCATTATAGTCTCGAGCTCGCTCTTCTATAGCACCCTCTTCATGCTAAACAGAAGGATATTGTAAATGTCAGCAATGACTTCTTACTTGAGTAAGATAAATTAGGCTAATCACAAGAAGCTAGGAATTAAGAGTAACGTTGTAGCTTTAAAATCTAAAGCATTAGAACACTGAATTTACTACTGAAAGGTACCTTGAAAATCAGCAGGGAAATGGATTTCATCAAATCACCAACAACAATGAAATCCCCACGCGTTTGAACATAAAGAGCTAATATATGACCATGGTGTCCACATTCTGTCTGCAATTCTCGGCTGCCACCATCCTCACGCGAAGCCCACTTGTACAATTGAATCTTCTGATTGATTGCAGCAAGCAGTTTCCCATTGAAGGCATTTAGAGAGTAGACAGCTCCCTTAGTTTCCTTCTCAGCAATTAGTTGGAGCTTTCCATCTTCAACTATAAAAACTAAAATTCGGCCCTGCAATTTTACTCATCATTAAAGTACCTTAAATAACCATAAAAATGAACATCAGTGAATTAAAAAGTTAACTTCATTAAATTGAAGGCCCGAGTTACAAGTTATCAGTTTTGATTTGAAACAAAATTGCTTCCATTTACAACTTGCTCCCTGTAAAGGATTAATTTGTTTAACTAGCTACTAATGATTTAAACTCCACTCTCTCCCAAGCAAATCATAAAGATTATCATCTGATACAGTTTTCATTGCAGCCCTCCCTCCATCCCATATTTGTTATCACATCTCAGTTGAGCAAGGAATACAAAAATCAAGTTTAACTAGCTACTAATGTTTTAAAGTCCACTCTCTCCCAAGCAAATCATAAAGATTATCATCTGATACAGTTTTCAATGCAGTCCTCCCTCCATCCCATATTTGTTATCACATCTCAGTTAAGAAAGGAATACAAAAATCAAGTTGAAACTGCAAAACAGTCTCAATAAAAGATCACCAAAGACGCAAGTTACCAGACCCCCATGTAGGCAACATCAAAAATCAAGAGAGAGAGAGAGGGGACAAAGTGAGGACAGATGTTAAAGTTCCATCAGATGAACTCCGAGGAAAACACTATGGTCGACACCCAAAAACTACTGAAATCAATAGTTCATTACAAATCACAGGATCTAAGCAAACCTTATGATTAGAGAATCTTCTATCAATTAAACTTACCTTGGTAGGTTCATTTTCCTCTGGCATCACATATGCAGTTCCAATGCAATAATACACATTACTATCATCAGAAAAGGAGCAGCTTAGTATGGAACAGCCATATTCAAATTGGTCAAGGGGATACGTTGATATGAACTCAAATGTCTGATCATCTAACAGGCGGACAAAATGCATTTCAGGATCATCTGCATTTGACTGAGTATACTTCACACTGCATAGAGCAAATGTCCGGGTCTGCTCTTGATGGCTGATGCGACGTGCATGTTCCCCAAGGGGTATTGAACGGATGTGAAGCTTTTGAATTTCATCAATAGTGCCAATTGTTAACTCACCTTCTTTAGCGATTGCAAGGCTGTTGACAAAAGAGAAATAACTACTTAGGCATAGAAAATATAGGACCCAATTAATTAAAAAAATCATGAAACTACAACCAACAAAAAAAGATACTTCCGACAGACTTGGAAGATATGGCAAAAATCAACTCTTAACATTAGCTTGTCAACAAAATATGGAAGACATTTTAATTCTTTAACATGTCGACACCAGTAATAGGTGCCTGAGGGCTGAGCTAGCAGTTCATGCTCAAAATGTAATTGAACAACTAATTAAGAGACAGATATAAATTACCAATATAGTGCCACATTCAACTATTAGTCAACAGGACACAATGTTACCAGTAAAACCGAAGAAAAGGAAGGAACAAATTACCTGTCTGGAAAAGCTGCAACATTGAATGGGCACATATGACTAACTTCTTTTAGATTTACATTGCTATAAAGCAGCTTCTTGTTACTGCTGTAAATAACTGTGGGCCTATCGGAGGCAGCAAAGACGTGTGTAGTATCTTTAGATGAGAATGTACGAAGTGTTATGGGCTGTGTCCCAAGAGATACTTTTTTCCTATCTGTCAGCTCACCAGTACTCATGCTCAATACAAAATTCAAGAGATGGCCATCTCCCAAAGCACATAGTAGATAAGATATCTGAAAGGGAGAGAGTTTTAGAACCCCAAAAAAGGAAAGAAACAGAGGCAAAAGAACATATTAGATTAGAGGCGGGAAGCACAAAAATGTTCATGGCTATTGTCTGAAATTCAAAATTCTAATCAAGTATCAGTCATTCAAATCTGCTGTCATAAAAATTTCATGTCTATTGTCTGATATATTCAAAACCCTAATCAAGTATCAGTCATTCAAATCTGCTGTCATATACTTACTCTTAACTCTTGTCATCTGACTACACTAGTCAGTTTGATGAAAGATGAACTGTACCCAAACTTGGGAAGTAACATAATCTAGGCTTCCAAAAATTCTACTGTTCAGTTCGATGAACGTCCCTTGTTGATTACAACACCTTCGGGTCTTGATTTATTTTTATATTTTTGATAACCATATTACAATCATAAACGCTTCAGGTCTTGATGTACCTTCAGGGCAAGATTTTTAAACAGTCACAGGCCTATTTACTATCTTTTATTCACAATGCAGGTACTGTTAATGGAAATAAAATACTAATGGGAGAAAGGAAAGCATAAGGTACACAGTTTATTTATTTCATTTCTTTATTTTAAGGATCATTCGGTGACTCCTGTTCTTTTACTTTGCTTTTCTAAAATGTATTTTCCTATAATATAAAATTATATAGTAAAAACTAAAAACCAATTTTGTACATTTGAGGAATAGCCTCTTATCCTTATTTCATTTTGGTGCACCCAAGTGGTTCCTATGTATACAACATCAGAAATCGTTTGTAGAAAACCATATCTTTTTGTGAGGTTTTCTACTTTTTGGTGTACTTCTCGTACACGGGTGTTTCTTTCTCTTACAACAACAACAAACCCCACTGAGTGGGGTCTGGGGAGGGTAGAATCTACACAGACCTTACACCACTACCTCATTACTTTGTAGTCGTAGATTTCTCTTGATTAACAAAATCTCATTACTTTTATCAAAAAGAAGAAAAAAAAGTGATAAGAGAGCCTGTTGAACTTGAAATTTTCAGGCAGTTATTTAAGCCTAAAAACTAAGTATAATATATCCAGCCAAGTATCTTTATGAAAGGAAAAACACAGTAACCCGAGCTCATCCTTCAGTCTCCTTTCTTTTTTTCTAGGGAGGGGTTGAGTGGGAGAGGAGATTATAATTTTGTTACCTCTCGGTTAGCTCCGTAGATAACACTTTCACCTCAATCAACCACATCCACTAGATTCCATATAAAACAAAATACATCAGGAAGTCATTTAGAAAGTATGTAATCGCATCAAAGGTGAGGGAAATTATTTTCTATTATCGCGTCTTTTTTAAATTTATATTAGCATACGAACACAGAAATGTAAGTGGAAAAGTGTCCAGCTAAGAGGGAAAAAGGAAAAAAAAAGAATACATTAGGAATAGAGGGTGGTTAGCGTGTTGAAAAGATGCAATCCAGTGCAACTTTTTCCCTCTTTTTAAACTCTTCCTTTCCTTTCTTAGCTTACCTTCTTTTTCTAGAAAGTAAAAATCACAAAATTCGCATAACAAAGGACAAATAGAAATCTAAATGATTTCTTGCCCTTGACTGGAAGGTTGATTGAGAAAAAGTAGGTGGAACAATATCTGAGTTAATAGGGCTATTCTAGTAACGACACCAGAAGCCATTTTGACAATTTTCGAAGAGGACTAGGCAACAGTACAAAGATTCTACAGGAATTATGAATAATGAAACAAAAGTAGTTGGTCTAGCTTGAGGGGCTAGCTGAAATAGAAGAACTATCAAGTTATCCTTTTTAACACAAACCTAGTGTGATTCTAGAGCACAACTAACAAACGTGCCAACAATCACCATATCTGGTTATAAGTCTATAAATTTTGAAACTATCAGAACTTAGTAATTAGTTTCCATTCTAAAGGTAGCCTACTAAGAAAGCCTATACGCCTAGCTTTACCAAAAAAAAAAAACATAAAGAGCCCACAATCAGAGACCACAGGGCAACCCACCTTCAACCCATTGTTTTCCTGGTTTCTGCACAGGACAGTCCCAGAAATGAAACGTAATACCCTGCTTGTCATTCCCCGAAAGAAAACAGATAGTTGAAGCACAGATACAAGGTCACTATAAAGATAAGAGAACATACCCCTTCGAAGGAACACATCAGAACAGAACGAGGAATAATCTCCCCTCCTAGCTGTTCCTTTGTAATGAGATTCAAGTCGGGAAGTGAATATATCCTGACACTTATGTCTGTCCACATTCCAACTGCTGCAATGGGACTGTAGTTTGGATTTTCACCAATTGGATTTATGTCCAGGCACGAGATGTCATAATCCAACTTGGCATATTTTACTTCATTCAACACCCCATCACCAATTTCTAGGTATACCAGATGGCCACCCCCAGTAGCCAATAGTACCTGTAATATAAAAAATAACAGCACATGAGCTAATCGGCAGAAGATGGAGTGACAAACCTTGCAAATAACAAAGGTAAACCATGACCTGGGAAAAAAAAAACTATAGTTTCCAACAAACATCCTAAGGTGTCCGTGGTTCAATTGGTTCTAAATTGAGTAATCTAAAAAAGTTACAATCATTTTATTAAGTGATTTTACTATTTAAGTCTTTCAAATTCTCCATAACTTTTACCCTTCGGGGTGGAGTTCCATTTGGTGGGTGGGTCTAGGGCGAACGAAAGAGATGTGTAGCAGAGGGCAGGTGAGGCATTGTGTCGTCGAACAGAAAGAAATTTGCTCTTCCATTTCTTAGTAGGAGTGCTCCTATGTTAGCAGGACATTTCGTGCAAGAACTAGGTTTGAGTTAGTGCACTAACTAGGTTGTTTTTTCTCGCCTAATGGCTCTATCTCTGAGGTAACCCGGACTAGTGGCCCAGTGGTTTGGGCTTGGGACTTCCATATTGGAGGTCTTGAGTTCGAAACCCCTTGCAAGCGAAAGCAAGGGGTTTGCCTTCTGGGCAGAGCTCGTCACACTGGGCTTGCCTAGTGCGGGTTACCTCTCCTATGTGGTTCGCGAGGTATTGCATAGGAGCGGGGTTTTACCCTGTGCCTATGCGCACCAAAAGGGCAGCGGCTGTGGATTTTTCCTTGTCATAAAAAAAAAATCTCCATAACTTTTACATAGTAGTACTATTTACTCGAGGTTTCATAAACTATATTGCTGAGATATCTAAAACAACCTATCTCTTGCACATTATGCTTTATATAGTTAAGCAAATCACAACTCTTTCTTGTTTAAGAAACTAAAGTCATCTATGTCTTAACTTCTACTAATCAATGTTGTTAAAGATGCGCTTAAGCCTTGAAGTGAGGATCAAGACGTGTTGAATGCTTCACCTCGCTTAATTTGTGGTTCAATGTCGTCATCAAAGTTCTAAGACATACTTTTCCTTGCCAAGGTACTTTTCATTTTATCGTAAATGTTGTCCATTTTTTGTCATCCTTGTATTTATTAGTCTTGGACTAAACATATATATTTGTATTTTTTTCTCCCTTTGAGCCTTTTTTTCAATTAAAGTATGTGCTTTATTTGAGCTTTAAGGCCCCAATAAATCTTAGAGCTTCTTTTCGCTTTTTGCTTTTGACAACACTTCTACTAATTACTTGCCACAACTGATTTGCAGATTCATACCAAGAAGAGGAATACATTAACCCTAAAGCGCCTCAATGACCTTGTGTTCATAAAATACAATAGAACATTAAGCCGTCATTAAGACACTCACAATGTAATTGATCCAATTCTTTTGGACAATATAGATGATGCTTATGAATGGGTAACCAGAGTCCCTGAGAATCATCATGATGATGGAGCAATTTTTGAGAGAGATTCTGATTTCACTTGGGGTGCTTCTGCAGATACAAGTGGGGTTGAGGAGAACTATTATGGTTTAAGGGGGGATACTTCCAGCTTACATAGGAGGGGGAAAAGTAGCTTCAAGTCTCTAGTTGATGAAGTGGAAGAAGATAATGATGGAGTTGAAGAAGATGATGAACAATATAATGACAGTGGAGGAACACAAGATTGTCAAAATCTTGTAGAGGAAAGAGAATTAGACATTGAACCATTAATAGCTTTGATTTTGTTTGTCCTATTGTTTATGGAAGATTTTGTGATATCTACTTTTTAGTTTTTAATTTGAACATTTGCGGGTAGATATTGTCTCTATTTATTTTGGTCTCTTTTCTTTTAAATTGTGCTTCATTCTCAATGAAGTGAGCGATTTACTCCACACTTCAAGCAAACCAGGGCCTTGTCGCTTTTTCTCACTTCACGCTCCCAAAATTACTGGTAAACAGATTTACTTAGAAGATATTGTTTCAATCATAGATATCCATATCCTAGGCTTTTGCTAGGACATTTGATCTGTTTTCTCCCTTTTGTCCTATTGTAAATCTGGTTTATGTACAACCTATGTATTGCTTTGTTCACATATGCACAACTGTTGCTATCTCAGAAAAAAAGAAAACTTAGGGGTTGTTTGGTAGAGTGGATTATCAAAAATAATGCATGCATTTACTTTGTGTTTTAGTAAGACCTTGTTTGGTAAAAATTTTCATGTTATGTATAACTAATGTTTCGTTGTACTAATACCATGGATTGGTGTGTCGAGGTGTGTATTACTAATACCATGGGTTTCTAGGTATTAGTAATGCAGGGGGTTTTAATGCATGCATTAGCATGGTTAAAGACCTCATTCCCCTCAAAAAAATTTACATCTTTTTTTTTTTTTTATAACCGAGAAATCCGTCTATGACCCGCCCTTTGGACCAATCACAGCCTTCTAAACTCAGTGGATAATGGGCCTGCCCCTCTACCCTTCTCCACTTAAATACCAAGCTTCGCTTTGCATGGTGTGGGGCTTGAACCTGCGACCTAAGCCACAAATCCTCCACCTTTTGCCACTTGCGCTAGGCCTTGGGGGTAACTTTTTACATCTTTTCCACCATAATTGTGAAGGGTATCTTTGTAAATAAATATTTCTATGCAGTGCATACTATTTTTAACACACCAAACCAAACAATGCATAAGAAATAATCTGTGTTATTAATGTAAGCATTACTAATACTCTATTTAGCATTATTCTTATACACTCTACCAAACGACTCCTTAGTACCAACAAAGAAAATGAGACTTATGTGCCAAGGAATAAAATTTGGAAACTACATAACTTAAAAATTGCGTAGTTGTGCATTGGGATCTGTATCCTATCGCCACAAGTGTGTCACAACCAACAACATCTGTCATTATCGTAGTCAGTTTTTATCTCTTTTTGGAGGCAGAAAAACTTCACAACCATGATATATAAAGCTATTCAACATTTTTTCAAAAATTAATCATCAACAGTCTGTTGCACGTCTCAAGCTATTATAAAGTCCTGAATGAATGCAAGAGGTAAACCTGAGTGGCATTAGCAGTTGCAACATTGACCGAGTAGCCGGCTGGGGCAAACCATTCGTTTTTCAGATCTCTAGAGGTAGAACTGACCAGTCTAACAGAATTTGAAGTAACCTGCATGGCATTATGTGCAACTGTCCTTAAATACATATATTATTATGAATAGAGTTCACCCATACATATAAAAGGAGCTAGCTGCAGATGGTTAATGAAAACGTTATACCCTAAGCAATCAGTGTACCATCATTAGTTACTAGTCTACCAAAGTAATGCAGAGCAAAAGGTAATGGAAGATTCTGGTTTCTCAATTTTAACAGTATGAAGCTGAATAAGGACATAATAGCAGTAACAAAGCAGTAACAGTGATTGACAATCTCAAACATGACTCTACAAAACCAATATATTTGTTCCAGCAAAGATACTGTCTCTTCTCATCCAACCGAAGCACATAATAGCATAACAGGACACTTTACAACTTAAGAAAGATGTAAAAGATGACACACATAAGAGCTTTGACAAAATTTAGCCACACAAGCTGGCAACTTTTTTTTTTTTTGAGAATGGTAACTTTTTCTTCTATTTATCCACAGGTATACTACATCAAAGTAGCCCCCCTTCCAAAAGTATTACAATCTAAACAGACTCCATCCGTGTTGTTTGTCACAAATAGTCTAAAACATCAAAAAGTTCTTCTGCCTGTACTAAAACTTTCTGTTTACACCAAAAATAATAAAGAGCTATACAATTCATCTTGAAATTCTGCAAATTGTTCTTCTTGCCCTCAAAACATCTTTGATTCCTTTCTTTCCACACTGTCCACCATATACAAGCTGGGACAATCTTCCATCTCTCCTCCTTAATTGTAGTATTGCCAACATTGATCCAACAATTTAGGAGTTGTACTTGTTTCTTGGTTTCACCCAAGTGATCTTCCTAAGGCTGCTGAATATTCTCCATAATTGATCTGTCCATTTGCAATGCAAAAGAGATGGTTGACTGTCTCTGCCTGTTCCTCACATAAGTAGCATCTTGAGCACAGTTGGAACTTCCTCTTCTTTATATTTTCTTGTGTCACTGCTTCCTTTGCTACTAACCATGTGAAACAGTTTAACTTGTATGGGATTTTAGATCTCCATATCATCTGCCATGGCCAGAGCTCCATCCTATCATTTGAATTTGAGTGATTAAAATTTTTGTAGGCTGACTTGACACTGAATGCCCCTTTGCTGCCAATCTTCCACACAACCTTGTCTTCTTCCCTAGTCAGATTACTAAATTGTGCCATTGTATCATGGAAGGCCACTATGTTTCCCATCTCCCAATCATTTAGATTCCTCCTAAGATGTAAGTTCCACCCCTGTCCTGTCCACATTTCAGCCACAGTTGCATTTTGTTGAAGGCTTAGTGTATATAAGTCTGGGAATAATTGGGAATAATTGTTTCAGGGTTCTTTGGGCTATCCATTTGTCCTCCCAAAATGACACCTTCATTCCATTACCCACCTGGAATCTGATTCTGGAAAGAAACAGAGGCCAAAGATTTCTTACAGATCTCCAGATACCACATCCATATGGTGTAGTTACCATCTTTGTCATCCACCTATTCTCCATTTCATATTTTGCCCTGATCACCTCTCTCCATAGCATATTCTCTCCTGTCATAAACTTCCAAAGCCATTTTAACATTAGGCTTTTGTTTTGTTTTTTCATGTTCCTGATCCCCAGTCCCCCTCTTTCTTATTTTTTATGACCTCTTCCCACTTGACTAGATGGAACTTCTTTTTATCTTCATTTCCCTGCCAAAAGAAGTTTCTTCTCAAAGCATCTATCCTCTGTATGACCTTGTCTGGTGCTGGGAACACAGACATCATATAAGCAGGTATTGCATCTAGCACACTATTAACCATTGTTAATCTACCTCCCCTAGACAGATATTGGCTCTTCCAGTTGGTTAGCTTCTTTTCACATTTTTCTATCACTCCATTTCAGATCCCTATTGATTTGCTCTTTCCCCGCAATGGCATACCTAGGTATACGATTGGTAGCTCCCCTACTCTACCACCCAAAACCCCTGCCAGGCTATCCACCTGAGCCACTTCATTTATGGGATAAATGAAACTCTTCCCCCAATTGATGTGTAATCAAGAGACTGCTTCAAAGATGATGAATATTACTCTTAGGATCAACATTTGCTCTGTCACTGCTTCACAAAAAATAAGAGTAATGCAGATGGGTGATCTCCAAGCCACTTTGTGCACTGTTGTCCACCCTAAATCCCCTTACCCAACCCTTCACCTTTGTTGTGTGAATTAGGTTACTCAAACCTTCCATGGCTAAGATGAATAAAAAGGGTGACAGGGGGTCACCTTGTCTCAGTCCCCTTTGGGATGAAAAGAAGCCACTAGGAGTTCTATTAACTAAAATAGAAAACTTGACTGTGTTTATGCAAAATTTCACCCATCTGATCCATTTGGCTCCAAAACCCATCCTTTGCATCATAAGTAGTAAGAAATTCCAGTTTAAATGGTCATAGGCCTTCTGTATATCAAGCTTGCATAGAATTCCAGGGCACTTGCTTCTCTGTCTAGACTCAACACATTCATTTGCTATCAACACTGCATCCATTATTTGTCTACCTTTTATGAATGTCATTTGTTGGCTGTCTACAATCCTGTGTAGCACCTTCTTTAACCTTTCTGCCAACAGTTTAGCAATGATCTTGTATACTCCACCTATTAGACTGTCTAAAATCTGTCAGTTCCTCAGCTCCCACTTTCTTAGGAATTAAAGCCACAAAAGTGGCATTATTTAACCGAAAAGAGAAGGATATTGAAGGAAGATGCTTCTGTCCTAATATTTTCTCATTTCTAACTTCTGTGATTTTGATCTAATATCATAGTGGAACTGGAAGGACTTGACAAATCTTTAAAACTATTTTACAGGATGCACATAACAAACCAGAAAGAGAAGATATTGAAGGAAGATGATTCCATCCTAATATTTTCTCATTTCTAACTTCTATGATTTTGAGATAGTATCATAGTGGAAGGACTTAACAAATCTTCAAAACTATTTTACAGATGCACATAACAAACTCGAAAGAGTACCAAGCACTAGTGGAGACCATCGAAATCTAGAGAAGGAAAGAATTAGTTTCACAATGTGATCAATGCAGACCTTTTGTTTAACCTATTATCTGTATGGAGAAGAAATCATCTTCCTGCAGATGGCTACTTAAAAGTTATAGATTTTGTAATCCACTTCTGAGCATTTCATACTTGAAAAGTAACACCAAACAATCCTAAAAGAAAAGGTTAGAACATACCAATTCCATGTAGACCCTAAAGAAAATAATTCCCCAAACAGATTTATATTATCATCACAATTTTGATCTAATCATAAATATGTCTCATATTCATTACCTGGAAGTAGATAAGAATCTTATATGTAGGATCGTTATGAAAACAATAAAGACCTCCTAAAAATGCAACCATTGGTAGGGTAAGTCATTTTGCCTGCTGTCAGTGTGAAAGAGCCCATTCCATACAGACCCTAAAGTATATAATCCCCCAAATAGATCAATATCGAATCACACTTTTGATCTAATCATAAATGTGTTTCATATTCATTACCTGGAGGTAGATAAGAATCCTATCTGTAGGATTGTTATGAAACCCATAGACCTAAAAAGTGCAACCAGTGGTGGGATCAAGGATAAGTCATGCTGCCCACTGTCAGTGTGAAAGACCCTATCTTCTTTTTTTTTTTTTTTGTGACCCCTATCTTCTTTTTTTTTTTTTTTGATGACCCCTATCTTCTTTTTTTTTTTTTTTTTTTGAAACCCCTTTTCTTTTTTTTTTTTTTTGAAACCCCTTTTCTTTTTTTTTTTTTTTTTGATGACCCCTATCTTCTTTTTTTTTTTTTTTGAAACCCCTTTTCTTTTTTTTTTTTTTTGATGACCCCTATCTTCTTTTTTATTTAATTCTGTTCCTTCCAATTTTGTCATACCAAGTCCGTTTAGCTCTTAAAACAGCTTGCCAATCCTTCTCATTTGGCAGAATGTTTCATCAGTAGTAGCAAATAGCTAATTACTCCATATTGTCCTCATCCACCCAGTGAGAGAAAGTCAGGGAAATTTATAGAATCAAAAAATCTAGTTCTATTTATGCGTTACATTTTTATTCTCTTACAATTACATTGTTCAGAATGGCATACACTGAACACTTGCAAACTTACATCTAGCTGATAAGTCGACAAATTAAAAAAAATTCTTACACTCGGAAAAATGTCTACTCAATGCAGGGCATACCTGAACAAGCTGGTTGTATACAGCATCATGACAAAACAAGGTCTGGACTTGAGAATTGAAGCCTTCTATCTCAGTTTCTTCCAGCTCATCCTCAAGGTTCATAGCCAAAACGCGTGTCTCACTAATGAAGCTAACAACCAAGAATGTGTCATATGGATCATCAGTAGCAGATCTAAGAGACCACATTCCTTTGATCCCTTGTAGTTCCACAGACGCCTACGAAAGAGCATTACATATAGATAAAGTTATTCTAGCAATATGAATACATAGTAAGAATTCCCTCAAAAATAAATTAGATGACAAACCTGTTCATTTATGCCAATTCCATTTCGAACAATACGAAGCGATCCATCCTTATAGGCTCCAGAGCAAGTTACAACCTGACCTTGACCTTGCCTCTCCAGATCAACAACACAGAAGTCCACAATAGGTCCCAAATTGACATATCTCTCTAGAACTTCCACATAAGAACCTTTGGTGTCAGGCTGGAGATTGAGCTTTACAAGCTAAACGTGAATTCAAAAATATTAGTGGAACTGTGAAATATGAAGCACCAGCAGAAATAGGCAACTGAAATTTAACACTTCAAAGTTCCAACGAATCAAAGGCTACTGTATGGAAAATACAATAAGGAAGCTCTAAAAACCAACTTATTGCACCAAGATGCATTCAACAGTTTAAAGTACCTGTGAATCTCCATAGCTTGAGCCAATGAAGACAAAAGCATTGTCTAGGTATGATATGGTTGATGCAATAGAAGTTTCTCCCAGTAGCTCAATTTTAAGTCCGGTAACTCTGGAAAAACAGATTAATAATCCACATTAAACATTTTAATTCCAGCAACCAGGCAAAGGTACAAGAGAGGATTTCATTCCCAGCAACTCAGCTAAAGTAGAAATGACAGTCTAGAAAATGCTGACGCACTTCTCCTTCTCATGAGTGATAACAAGTAGGTGAAGAAGCCCATTATGATCCCCAAGCAAATATCGAGAACCATCAGCATCAACCCGCCCATATGCTCTTGTGATAGACTTGAAGGAACAAATAAAGCATTTGTAAGACAAAATCTCATTCATGTATTTAATTAACAGCATCTTTGACAACATCTAGTTTAAAGTTTTTAAAAGGCTTATTCAGGTCAAAGAAGCTGGTGGGGTGGTTGTACAAGAAGACTGGAAAATTAGTAAGTTGTACATGTGCTTACAGGTCTAATTGGGATAGCCTTAAAAGCTGAAGCGCTGCAATAAACGATGGTTTCTTCTCCAATAATCAATACACCACACAGTGGCGGAGGTACTGGTATTAGCAAAGAAGCTCCATTATCAAGATTATTCTGAGCCCATGGACCTTCAATAAAATCTTTATCTTTCAAGGACACCTCATATGTTTTGACATGTCGGGCATCCTTGTTATCCTGCCAATCAAACATAAAAGGTCCAGAACTAGCATCAGAATGAAGTAATTTAAACAGAAAGAAGACAACGCCATGGCAATTGTGCAAATGAAGCCCTTTGGTGGGTTCAGAACCCCCCACCCCTCCCCATCCATATTTTTGAAAGGACGTGCACAACTTCATTCTATAACTAAGTGCTAACAACAAATCCAAGACTCTAAGGCGCCAGTAACATTCCCCATGCTGAAAGAACAATTTTCCGCCATAATTAGAAAGAATGGAGAAGGTAAATTACGCATTATGTCAACATTATTTTGAGGATCACAAACCTGATATAGAACAACAATTGTAGGCTTCGGGCAACCATACAAGAATTTAATATCTAAAACTTGAAGCTCCTCGAGCCTGAAAAAAAATAAAATGAACTATCGGTCAAAGAAGAATGGCTCCCATAAATAACAAAGTGAGGTTCCCTGCTGAAACAGATTCAGACCTAATCAGCAATCTTCCTACATAAAGTGTAGGATACACTTCTTAGGAACATAATTCAGATAATCAATCACAAGCAAGAGACGTGTAGGTAAACTGAAACACAAAATGAGGTCACATTGTTTGGTATTTATAGGCCTGCCCAAGACCAAACCACACGAAATGATAATACAGAAAGAATTTTACTTTCTTACTTAGGAGAACTAAGGAAAGAGAAAACAAAGTGCAGCAATAAATATCCAGAAAATGAAAAACAGCAGTCCAGAAATCCTTTGAAGTTTTCATCTACATCATCAAGTTAACAAGGTTACAGAACAAAAACAAATGAATTTGGAATAACAGCATATATAAGAAGGAAGATCGCTATAAATTGTTCTGGTAAAGGGCAATGAACAATTGGTCTCTACAAGTCTACTTGCTGAGGTCATGACCTGGAATTTCTTTTGATACCTATAATTTTCAGACAAACTCACGCTCACCTTAACTACTCCCCTATACCTTGTACTTTCCACCAAGGAAGCTACCAGGCTACGACACGATGACTTTGCCGAACAAAAGCTGAGGAAAAATAGAAGAAATTATATTTCTATATGACGGTGGTGTATGGGAAAATATGTGTGCACCTCGACTAATCTACCTTATACCAGCTAGTCTGCTGCCTCCCACCAGCCCAGGTACTGAGTAACTCTGACCACCATAGCTTAGGAAGATGGGAAGAAATCACCCGGTGTTTTTTCTCCTCCACTAGGATTTGAATAGCTTCATTAACCACTAGGCCACACCCTTGGGTGCAAAATCGCCTATTTTTTCTCTCCTGGAACTTAAGCGCTTGTCTCCTATGATTTACACTAATTGGCCGATTGGAGTGCAGCCCCTACTTGGATAATTGTCACATATTTAGCATTGATCTCATATTTCAAAACTAATTTCACAATTGTTCTTTTTTCTTTGTTTGCTCCTAGAAATGCACATCCATGCATACTCGTCCCAATCACACAGGCCTTATCCATTATAATTTAATGATAGAAAGGATCATTTAGCAATTAGGTGGGTGATACAGAAATGGTGTAGGTCAAGAAAAGCAAATTGGCACACAGGCTAGAAAATCTCTAGCAACAAATAGAAGACATTACTAATTTTAGAAGGAAATTGCAGATAAGCTATCTTCACAATCTTGAAAAGATCTAAGGATACCTGATGTTAAAAGCTTCCTTCAGTTGGCCTTTGTTATCAAATGGAATAACCTATTGAAATGAAGTCCATGAGAATCTTTTGCAAACATAAAGAAACCACCACAAAAGATAATTCAGTTAACAGATGAAACAAAGACCAAGTAGCCAATTTTTTGAGTCTTGTAAGATGGTACCTTAAATAGTCCATCATAAAGATGCAGCCCGATCAATCTGCAGTCTGGATCAATTATACCAATCTACCAAAAGAGAGAAAAAGGGCAAGCAGCAAATGTAAAACAGGATATTGAATACAATACAGAAAATCTCATTGACCGAATGGGAAATAAACAAAAAAAAACATAATATCATTTTATTCCTTTAAATTACAATAATATTTAAGGGCATCTCAAGAAAATAATACCTGACCATTATCTGTGGGACGGCCTATTCGGTCTGACACATCTCCCATTGCTCTACATATGAGAACACCAAAAGAGGGGAAGTTTTGAGTTTGAGAAACAAAATATATACACCGACTACAAAAGATATGGAGGTCAGCAAATGATAGGCATACATTCTGCTAGGAGTAATGAAAATAAAAATAAAAAAACCTTCAGCAACTAGCAAAAACATAAGACACATAAGGCTAGACCACTTCTGGCTTTGATTTGCAAGAAGATATATTGTGAATAAACAATGACATTTTCATGGACAACTTTTGAGGAAGTTTTTGCAGAGAGAAAACAAACTATCAAGGCTTCTATGAAATAGCTATAAAGATGAAGCACTGCACCAAGATTCATGCATTACAGTACAACTAAGCTCAATCCCAAGCAAGTTGGCACTATTCTTTTTCTTTTTTCTTTGATAAGTAGGAGGATATAGTTCTATATACATATGTTTTAAATCTGAAACTGAAAATCTATTCAATGGATTGTCAGATTTATTTTTATGAAAAGAAACTTCTACATAAAAATTAGGCATTGTAGTTTTGCAGACTTACCTTGTGATAACTTCAGATGCCTCAGTGTCCCATTGAAGGACACAGAATTTATATCGCTCTGTTGCGATGAAGAGAAGATCTTGTGTTTCACCCTGCCAGGATACCCAGGGAACATGAAAAACTGACATGGAAAAAGAAATTTTTTTCTTGTGTCCAGTATATTTTGCAGGATAAAAATGAACTACAGAATGCAAAGATGTCAACTTACGTGAGGACGGAAAAGCTCAAGTGTCGCGATTCTCCCATATATCGGCACATCTAACATTGGCTGCAGACAAATGCACTAAACTGCACTCATATTTTGTAATATTCTAAAAACCGAAAAACACTTGCTATCTTAATCAAGATCAGGACAGCGAAGAATGAGAATCACTAATTCTTACATTTAACAGGAAAAAAAAAAGAAATGGACAATAAAAATATGGGTGATTTTTTTTTTTGAAGTAAAATACGGGTGATTTAAAAGCGCACGAAAAGAAAAAAAAGCATAACAAAAAACTTTTAATATAAAAGGCTGAGGACTTTAGGCTAATGGAAATAAGGAACATTAGTAAACAAACAAATTACCTAAATACCAAATTGAACTATGACAGAGTTAAAACTAATATAAAATCTAGAACATGGTACCATATAGTTGCACTAATTGATATGATTCTTTGAGTTAACAAGGAATCAACCGACCAACATCAAAATCTTGATGCGGAAACAGTGATAGCATGACCTGGTTTCAGTAGATGAACACGTTTCAAGCCGTAGAACTCAAAATCAAGCGATTCAATGGAAGATGAAATTCTGCATTAAATGGTTAAATGTTCCACAAATGGAATAGGATCAGCAACACCCATGATTGTCGACACTATTCACCAGGCTCAAAGTTGTATTTCTCTAACTTCTTATAGAGCTTCTTCAGGACAAAAGTAATTTTAGCATATGATTAAACTACATCCCACTTCTTAGTTGTAACTCTGTAACTTTCCCCAAGAAATCCTCCTAAAGAAACTACCAAACGTTAAGCCATGATCTGAAGTTATTTCCCTTGGAACTTTATGAAGCTTAACCATCTCCATGTTCAGCTGTTAATTGAGTATACATGCAAATTTGGGTAAGTACATGAAATTTCTTTGACAACTCAAATCCACGTACCCCTAAATTAAGCATGGAGATCAAAGAATATCTTCAACAAAATATATCAACAGCAATGTTCATACAGATAACAGATTTAACTCTATTATAGACATATGTTGTTGAGAAGTCTTTTGTTCACACATTCTTGCCAAGATCCATCATATAGAGGCACTACATGGTTTGTAACTAAATAGAGGCTCAAACTCTCCCTAGTTGGCTCCTTTTACAGAAAACTCTTCACCCTATCCTTGCAACACTTCATTGACATTTGAAAATTGCATAGCTTGCTACCTTGGAGAGAAATGGAGTCAAGAATCAATCAATATTATGTAGATCCCCATGCATGAGAGGATGCTCATTTGGACCCTCTGAGAAAATTAAGGCATCAAATTTTGTTGGTAACCTCTCGACTTTTGGATCTAATGCATGCTCCTCTTCTTTTTGCACTTCCATAGCCATGTCAATGTTCAACGGTTCTCTGTTGCCAGGACCAATGATTTGTGATTGGTCATTAAGAAATCATGCACAAATAGGGTTAGCTAGCAAGTTCTCTGTTCTTGCCTACCATAACACTGGAAAATTCCTCTATATATCATCTAGAACTCCTCTAGTCTCTTCCATCTCTTTAACCCAATGTCCTTTCCTTGATTCAATGAGTAGATACCAAATCTATGTGATTATTTCAGTTAACAAAATCCAACCAGGATCAAGATCTTGAATTGGTAACAACCATTGGAAGGTTTGATTTAAGGAAACGGATATATCTCGAACTATAGGACTTGAAATCATTTGAAGTGTCTAGGGTTAAGGCTACGCATTTTAAAAGTCCTCCGAAGTCTTCCTTGTTTTCCTTAAACTTTAGGAGAAGTCTAACTATGTCAAACAAAGTGAATATCACATTCTTCACTATAGTTCTTTCGGTTTCTTAGTAGGAATGGGTGCCAGAAATTTGTTCGTGACAAATTTTGAATATAGAGGATAAATTTCGCAATCACAAACAAATATGAGAACATCATTATACTGATAAATGTTCTGGATTTACTCACTTTATCCAAAAAGATCTAATATTTTCTACCATAATTGAGTTGCAAGAAGTGATCAACATTTCCTTCCAATCATCTGTACAATATAACCAATTGTTTAACCGTAAGAATGAGTCTCTTTGCTGCTAGCCAAGTGAAACACAAAACATACCTTCCTCAGAGCTTAAACGTATCCTCTTCTCTTGGTAGTTTGTGCCTTTGTGGTAGAAGGGCTCCATCATTTAAAGTAAAAAACTTCCCCTCTCCTTCTAATTCTAAGAGCCTTTGTGCAATGATATGATGTTTTCCTCACAGAAAAAGTGTAAGTTTTTAAACAAGTTTTGCCTGAATCTCATTCTTAAACAATTTCACGATCTTCTACTTGTGTATTTGAGCAACTGTCATAGCTTTCTAACTTCATATGACATATAGCACGAGAAGGCGTCACTGAGGATCTTCTCTACAACACCTACACTTTCATACATTGAGCCTGTTTCCATCTAACTTTTTCTGAGAAATATGTTTCCATCTCACTTTAAAAATGATGTCGCACAAAATTCTTTAATAATGTTTCTCCCTACACTGCAGCAATAAGGCAACATGGTGGTGTCACACCTCCAACACCATCAACCCCTCTTGGATATCTTATTATGCAATTACTATTCCCTAATAAGCCTGCAACTCATTATTGGATCCACTAAGCCATTTTAGTAAGTGTGTTGTTGAAGACCCGCAAGCAACTCATTGTTGGATCCCCTAAGCCATTTTAATAAGCGTGTTTTGTTGGAGACCCTGGATTCCTTCATAGTGAAGCCTTCATACTTTATTGCGAAAATTTGCTAGGTGAATCTATTGTCTCATCCTTTGTTTCGCACAAAAAGTTTCATCGAAAAACCAATTTTTGGAGCCAATAACAGGTGCATCCATTGACACATAATATGTCATAATACTAAACATGCTCTTGATCAATACCTCCTCGCTTCCTTTGGACAAATATCTTTATTGTAATCATGACCTTTCCTCTACTTCTTCAATCGCATATTGAGCAATCTTTAACTGACACTCCTAGAAGCAACCTAGGTAAATCATAAGAGATGTCCCCACCTTCTAAATGACCCTTGTGATAGAAGGTGCCACCAAAACTTACAAGTCAAGTTCTACAGAGTGGTGGTTAGACCAACTATGTTATAACAACGAAGTATCGACCCATCAAGATATCTCACATTCAAAAGATGGAAGTGGTGGAGATGAGGATGTTGTGATGGATGTGTGAGCATACAAGGAGAAATGTGACTAGAAACTAGGATATCTAAAACAAGGTGGGAATAGCTTCTGTGGAGGACAAGATGTGGAAAGTAAGGTTGAGATGGTTAAGGCATGTGATGAGAAGATGCATGGATGCCTCAGTACAGAGGTGTGAAAGGTTAGTTATAGATGATTTCAAGAGAAGTAAAGGTAGATCAAAAAAGTATTGAGAGAGGTGATTCAATAGGACGTGACATGATTTCAACTTATCGAAGACATGACCTTAAATAGATTGTGAAGGACACAAATCAAGGTAGAAAGTTTGTAGGTAGGAGTGCATTGTCTTGTTGTTCGTCCAAACTAGTATAGTATTACTCTTGTAGTTTCTTGTCTTCGATTTCGGTTGCTATTTGTTCTTTCTTGTACTTTGACTATCGTATTCTTTTGTTGTAGTATTGTTCGGTTACAATAACATACCCAATGAAATCCTACTAAGTAGGGTTTGAGGAAAGTAGAGTGTAAGCAAACTTTACCACTACCACGTGGAGGTAGAGAGGCTGTTTCAAAAGACCCTCGGTTCAAGTGCATCAAACCCAAGTATTGTTATGTTACCACCTATTATTTTTTGTACTTCCATTACTTCTTTTCTAGACTGCTTTGGACTACTTTTTCTTGAGCCAAAGGTATCGAAAACCACCTCATTATCTCTGAGGGTGGTGGTGACGATGTCCTATAATGTATGAAAAATAAACCCTTATCATGCAATTTCTAGAATTATTCTCAACTAAAAAGGCACATGTACTGACCATGTAGATTATGACTAGAATAGATATCAAATGTAGAGAGAGATCCAATACTGCAACTTTACTCTTTCGGGTTTATGCATTCAATTAGGCTAATCATGATTTGCCTTTTCAAATTTAAATGATTCAAAAGAATCCAAAGGTGTGATCTAGTGGTCAATGAAGTTGTTTGAAAACCATGAAATCTTAGGTTCGAATTCCAGCAGAGGCAAAAACACTAGCGATTTTTTTCCATCAGTCCAAACCTTGGTGGATAGAGTTCTCCGGTACTTGTGTTGCCGAGAGATAACAAGTATTTTGTGGCAGTCGAGGTGGGCCTGGACACCACAGTTACCACATAAGGGTTAAGTGATCCAACTGATTTTCTATCAACTATTGGTATCATCTTTTAACAAGAATTGTTGATCTCATTCATTTTTCTTTCTTTTTCCGAACCAAAAGAGATCAGAATTAACCTTCCATTACAAGCCTTCTAAGCTACTATTAAAAACAAATGTCAGAATTGAACAAATTATGCCCAAAATATGAGTAATTGCTTCAAAAACTTAAAGATGCATGTCAGGCAAACAAAGATGGAAAACATGTTCACCTGTAAACCTTGGGGAGTGAGTAAATGAATCTCGATTCGAGTACATTTCCTAATAAAAATCAAATTGAGAAAAAAGTTGTCATTATTAACCAATTTTCACACGAAAAAATCAATAATTAAATAATAGAATAATAATAAAAAAATGCTCTGCAGGAGTAATTATCAGTGCCAACTATAACTATGGATTGTAAATAATAAATAACAAATTTACTGCTCCTATGCTAACAATGGACTGAACCAGTTATGGAAAAATCAGGAAAACCCCAAATAGTAACAACAAAGCCAAAATCCAGAAACAAGTAGAGCAAGAAAGAAACAATCTGAGTGCAAATTAAAGTTCATGAGAAAGAGAGGGAAGAAAAGAAGGGCATACGCAATGATAAGATTGAGCTCTTGAGGACCAGTGAAATTGCCAACACAGGAATGTGTAACATTTGTTGGCTTGTGAGCCGTAACCACGTAGTTCCATACACTCATCTTGTATCTTCTCTCTTCCCGCTATACCTACAAACCCTAAAACTTGTTTCAGTTGAATCACTTGAAAATAGAAAAAACAAATGGGGGAAAGCGAGACACAGCATATATATATATATATATATATATAT